TGATCTGGAAAGCTATGCCAGCCACATGCCAGCACATGAGCCACATGCCAGCACATGCCAGTCACCATTGTCAACAATGACAACCACCGAATTTCTTTTTCCACAAAGCAACCACCACCCCCTCTGTTTTTCTAAATTGCCAGCTTCTATGATTTGTATTTTCTTTGTTTCTGATTCCTATAAATAGCTATCAATGTAAGCTCTCAAGGCACTGATCAATCAATATCACTTCTATTACTCAATTGAGTATTTTCTCTCTTAGAGAGTTCTTCCTTTGCATTCTGTGCCAATAGGTTTATCAAGCAGTAGAATCAACATATATTTAAAAAAAAATGAAGCTAGATCACTAGTCTAAATGATGGTTATAAGGTTGTAAAGGTTACCAGATATTCTGCTGCTTTAGCACGTTTAACACATTCATAACCCCCATAAGATATCTCTCCCCACCCTTTCCATCCACAATCCTGTAAGTATTGAGCATCAAAGTAAAGGGAGATTCTGAGGAACTGACAGAGAATGATTCAGAAATGTACCTGTGGAACCAGCTGCAAAAGTTTATCAGGAACTGATATAGTGGATGGTTTTGCCCCAAAACAAAGAACTCTAGAGCTTGATAATGGAAGGAAAGAAACATCCTGGAAATCAATCACCTGTTGAAGAAAACAGTGAGTTTTTTTTTCTTTCTTTTTTGTCTAACATGGTACCCATCTAGTCATAAATGTTCAGTGCTTCATAACAAACATTTAACTTACCAAATCAGGGGTTACATAAGCCCCAGGGTCTCCAATCTCATAGAGTAATTGTTCAGCACAGGTATTGAAATTTAAAACTCCCCCACTGCCTTCAGCCTTTGCTACACATACTTGACCATCAAAACAGATTTCAGCATAAGGAAGTGATAAATCCAGTAGTTGCAGGAAGGACATATCTCGGTACTTGTCTCCTAAAACAAACAAGATAGAGCTTGAAACTATCATCTCATTCATACAACCTATCAACTTATATTTTATCTCAAACCATATGCAAGGGTAGAGTTAAGCTATATATTAGCAAACCTGGATGCATGAAGTATCCCCCTGTGAGTTGGCAACCACACTCTAGAAGATGGCCAGCCAGAGATCCTTGAGCTAGATGTTCTAATTCATCCCAGTTCCATCCTAGCTCATAAACCTACCCATATACCAGCTTGATCATTCAGAATTATGTCAACAGATAACTAAACTAAGGTATAAAGAACTGACCGACAGAGTTCTCCTGTGATCCTAGTTTTTCTGGTTAGTATAGACAATCTAAGATATTTGTCACGTTATTAAAAAATGTAATATTCTCTTCACAAAAGAAGTCTACAACTTCTCTCGAATAAAATCTTAATTAATGTGATATAAATAATAAAAAGTACTAGTGTTGCTGTTTCTCACCATGTTATTTTTTTGTGTCTCTAGCTATTTAAACAAAATCAACCGTTCATAAACCAAATATCGCAAATGCTTAAGCAGTTGGGTGATGAAAAATGAATAATTTTTATGTCTAGCATGCCACTAACAAGAATGATTTAGGCATGAAACATGGTCAACACATGTGCCAACCCTTCCTTGTGCTAAAATTCAACTTGGTAGAAAGGGGGGTGGGATGGCAAAGATTGATCTCTACAACTAAAAAGTATTGTCCATATAAAGACTGAAATCAGTCACTTAAAAGCAAGCATTGATGGAGGAAGGAGACAAAGATGTAGAATATGAAGGAAAGAACTGATCAGATTTCATACCATAGGTGCTAAGAACAAAGCAGCGTCTGCAATTCTCGAAGTAATTATTACATTTGGTTGGTACTTTTCAAGACAACGAACAATAGGAGAAGCGCCCAAGTAGGTGCTGATACCCTTTGCAAATTACAGCCAAAATTCACGTCCAGGTTAACAAAAAGTCCAAAAAAGTGGAGAAAGCATGCATGAAAAACTAAATTTAATCAGATTATACACATGACAATATTGCAGACAGACAAACAAAGTGGAATAGATTGGTCCCTTCATTTAGTTCAATAAGTAAATCAGAATACAGCCTTACAAGTCTAGAACTGAAGAAAAAATCACAGAAGCAATCATTAATATCAACAGCCAACATCCTAAAAGCTTTAGTTGTTAAGTGAACACTGATGAAAGATTTTATACTTAACACTCTCCTTTATGCAAGAGCCTATTAGATTTAAAGGGTGAACAATGCATTGGCCTACCCTACCTTATTATGAAATTAAACTTTTTTTTACTTAAATATTGGAGGTGGCAAGAATCAAACTCCCGACCACTTGATTATAAAGAGTAATACAATGCCGATGAACAATGACCAGCTAATTCCTAAAGCTTAAGCTGTTAGGTGAATGCTCGTGAATGGTTCTGTATCTAACAAATTATTCATCTGACAATCACTAAATAGTTAACCAGTGGGTGAATTGCTGCGCACAAATTGGTTGGAAATACATTACAAAAATGGAAGGAAAAAAAAAAGTTAATTAGAGAGTGACTTTATATGTGAACACAAATAGCCTCGTAATCGTAGGAACAGATTCTTACACCCTCCATGATATATGATTTTGCTGGTGAAAATCCTGAACCTGAAAGACGTGTGTATATATCAGTCAGTTGTAGAACTTAGCATGGAGAATAGTAAGAAAACCCCCTAATTTAATTTCTCTTTTTTTATATATACAAATATATTAAAACGGGGAAGAATAGTACAACCAGATGCATCAACAATTTCAGAGAAGCGCCTTGAAAAAAGCTAAAAACTTGAAAGAAAAAATTTGAAAAGTAAAAACATATGCCTTTTTAAGCTTAAATAAAGAGTAAATAAATATAGAGCTCATACGGTTAATAACTATCATTCTTTTAACCAGAAAAATCTCCTTATTAGGACACTCCTAGTCCTATTGTTTGTTTATACATTAGAGAGAAGTACGCTCTTCATATCATCCAATTACAGCAAATCAATCTTTCTACTCCAACAAGGACCTTTATCAGAGGAGGGATCACCCAACATACATCAAACAAAATGAAAAATAGAAATTGTAACAGTTGGTAAAAACAAATGCCTGAGACAAATAAACTGAATCGGAAATTAGTTGGTATTTGAAATCCCAGTTCATCATTCAAACATTCATTTAAATTTTCCAATAAAATAGTTCAAAGGAGAGATTACAGGAAATCCAATACCTATACTAGAGACAGACACCTCGTGTGCAACAGCAATAGAAACATTAAGACCCAGGCTGTTGGCTATTTCTAAGACCTTCTGTTGAGCACCCAGAGGATCCACTTTCAGAAACAGAGTGATTGAAGTTAGGAAAAAAAAGAGTAAGAAACCATATTATATCAATTCAAACCCACTGCATTACTCAAAACTTTGTTAAACATATGATATCTTTTGATAATCAATAAATATTATGTGTACCATTAAATGCAGCAACAATAATTCTTACTTGCACCCATATTGGTAATTATGCAAGTTCCTCTTTCCAAAGCCAGAGGCACCAGCGTATGCATCCAGTTAGAAACTGCAGAAATTTTTTACAAAAGAACAAATTTAAGAATAGAATTAAAAAAATGCAAGAGCAGGAAGGAAACCACTCCGCCACTAACGGCTGCAATATAGAATACTTTAAAATGATAAAATGGAAAACATAGTTGTTTTCAAATATAGATAAAGTTAAGTTCACTGTCTAAAAAATTAGTTAATTTTCCTGTTTAAAAAATATAGATAAAGTTAAGTTTCAAATATAGACCAAATATGAGTAAACTATTCATTCATGAGAAGCCGACACCAAACACATCATTGCAAGAAAATAAATTCCACCGAGAATTTTCATTGTGTTTAAGCACATGGAAGAAATGAATATTGCATTGATGTATCCAAAATATATATATTTAAACTGAAAGGCAAAAATGAAACTCCACAATTTATTTTGACATGAAACACCTACTCTGAGAATCATAGCCGTCACCACCAGACATCATGATTTGATAACGATCAGCGAGAGTTCGCTCGGCCAGGCATTCAAGAACCAGATAATTTAGTTCTGGAACTCTTTGAAGCAACTTAAGAGCAGCCAAAGGCCTGTCACCACCAAACCCCGCTCCACATCCAATGTAAACCTTATCCCTTCGCCGTTGGGGATTACTTCTCTGTAATGTAATTTCAACAAAGTTAGTTCCCTAATTACCGTTGACTCTGCATTGGAGACAATAACTAGAAAGATAACCAAAGGTAAGAAACAATAAGGTAACCAGCTTGATCAAACAGTTATGGATCTCTTCATTATGGGGTTCCATCAGTTCTACACTTCAACTTCCACCCCTGGTTCTGCTAGCAAAAAGAATAACCACATGAAAAATAGAATCCAATAGTCTTTTCAAGATCTCTAAAGAAAGAATCTGAATTCAATGCTAAACAAAGGTAGAACAAGTCATTCGTCAAAGGGGCATTTTCATTCCTGAGAGTGGAGTCCTGGGTAACATTTTGCATCAATGTAAAGTGTGAAAATTTGGCACGGTTGAACTTGAACAAGAAGGATATGCTATTTATCAAACACCTTAAATTCAAAACAATTTCACCATTCTCTTTTTCCTTTTCTTTTTGAACATGATTGAACAACAATATCAAATTCAAACCATATTGATAAACCATACATCAAATTAGGAATTTTTTGTCAACTTTCACAAGAGTTCTGCACGCATACATCCCAACAAAGATAACATGAAGAGTTAAAATTAAACACCAACCATTGGTCAAAATGAAAACTAGTACTAACTACTAACCATACACACACTGAGATGACATAGAGCTACTAACAACTTAGCATATTATTTCCAATATAATGAAACAAATTATGGATGAAATTCACAACATGCAGAAGATACATTTGTCCAGGTAGATCAGATTGAAATGACACAGCCATAATACAATTAAGTTCACAGTCACATGCCCACTTACAAATGAAGGACAGATTGATAATCATTAAACAAAGTTCACTCACAGCAATGAAGATAAGTAGAAGAAACTGGTTGGTACTTTAATTGACAACAATGGTTCCGTGCTTTAATTGACAAATAAACAATGGTTCCGTGCTTTAATTGACAAATAAATAATGGTTCCGTGCTTTAATTGACAAATAAATAATGGCAAAAATTAATAAATAAATTAAACTTTCAGCATAAAAGTTTGCCAGCATGTTCGGATAAGATTAAATTTGGAACTCGTTATTCATAAATCAATATTAAGAACTCCTTATTCAACGATTGAAATTATTAAAATTTAATATAAAACATAAATTATCGAGTAGATTTAGTCTAACTAAATTTATTTTTTTATTAAAGTCAATGTATATATATATATATATATAATCAACTGAAGCCTGATACCGTCAATGGACTTGTTTCTATTTCTTGATTTTCTATTTTTATTTTAATTGTAGTCATTGGAGGATATTCTGAAATAATAATTTTATTATCTATTTTTTTCCAAGTCTTATTGGTTTTTCTTAAAGGATTTATTGATTTAATAATATTATTTTCTTTACAATAATTTTTTAACCAATCAAAGAAATAAATATTAATTTCATTTTCTTCCATAAAAGAATAATAAAGATTTCTAAAAGTAATAGTTTCTTCTTGAGTAAAATTTGCAAAATACCATTCTCTTAATTTTTTATTGTAATCAACTTTAAAATCTTGATTAATCCATTTTTTATCAATTTGAAATGGTTCTTGTTTTGTAAGAGTATTGAGAATCTGAGAAGCAGAAGGGTTGTAATCTTCTTCTTCTTCAGTTTGTCTTTGAATATTTTCATAATGGGGTTTTGCTATCTTAGAACTAATATCTAATTTAGTTAAATCTATATTGATAGTGGAGCCATCAACTGAATGTCTCGCACTATTTCCTTTATAAATCATTTGTGGTAAATTTGGATCTTGATCTATTCATTCTCAACCTAATATTTGTTCCTTCTTGGACTATTTCTCTAACTTGTGTGTTATAAATCTTGGGCTCTTCTATAATATCTTCTAATAACCAATCTTCTGGAATTTTTGAAATAACCTCAGCGTGACTAAGACGCCTAGGCACTTGTATTGAAGATTTTCTAAGATTTGCTTCTACTAAAACAGTTTCATTTTTTGGAGATGATCTAAGAGCTTTATAATTGTAGTCTATTTTAGTAACTTTATAATAGATTCTAAAAATAAGTTGTATTGGACCAGAATCTTCATTTAAGATTTCATCTGGAATTTTTACATATAATTTTAGAGCATTATTTGTTTTAGTATTTCTAATGTTCATAGAGAAGTTTGGATAACAGTTAAAGAAGGCATGACCATCATGTAAATTACTTTCTAATATTGCTATAATAGAATCTTGAAATTGTTTCATTCAAATATCTCGTAATAATAATAGTATTGGATTGTTTACACCTAATCTATAATTAGGTTTAACAGCTACTTGAATTAATCCTAAATGCATATAATTATAACCCTTTTTTATATGTTCATCTAATATACTTTGTTGTAATAAATTAATAGTTTTGTTGGTTTTAGTTCCTGGATAACAAAATTCTGAGATATGAATTTCATCTTGATTTGTTGACCAAATACTATGTTGTTTATAGACTTCACATTTTTTAACAATAGGTATTGACCAATTATGAAGAGAGTTTTCTATTTCTGCTATCTGTATTTCTGCTTGAGAATTTTCTTGAGAAGTACTTGGGGTATCTTCTAGGGTATTGGGAGTTCTCATAACTATTTGTTTATTTTTGTTTTTGGTTTCTAAACTGCTAAATGTTTCAAAAAGTCTTGATAATTTTGAAGGTTCTTTGACAATGGTAAAGGTGTGGCCTCTATCCATGGCTTACCAATGGGTTTACTACCTCACTAGGCTTTACTATCGGGAACACCAACAAGAGTGTATAACCTTGGTCTCTACTTCCCCCCAAAGAAGATTCAAAATATCAACAATTTTTGAAATAAATAACAGAATTTGAACACAAATTCAAGAATAAAACAAACAGTTATTAACTTAATATAAATCGGATCAAGAAAAGGTGGCAGAGCCTCCTAGTTATGATCAATTTATATTAAAAGTTTAAAAAGTATTGACGGTATCAGGCTCTGATATCAATAAGGGAAGCGTGACATTATAAACATATTGATTATATTGATACAGAGTAATAGAAATATGAAGATATGGATAATCATGAAAAGTAATATGAAGATGACTATTTTCTAGAAATATCAACATAATGAGAGACTTGCAAAGATTTCAGATGGATAGCAGATTTTGAAAAGGAGAATTTTATTTGAAGATTGAAGCTTACTAGAATACTCGATGATTTACAATGAAGGAGAACTCCTCCTTATATAGACTATCTAAGACCTACTAATTTACTTAGAGGGTAGTGACTCATAATATTATACAAGGGTAAGACAGGAAAGAGAAAAAAGTACAATTATTTACATAAAGTGAGACTTCAAAAGATAAGTAATCTTTAAAAGTCTTTTGTCTTCTTGTGCTATTGATGAAACGTCTTGATCTTGATGAGCTGTCTTGTGTCGTTTTGTGATAATGATCTTGAAATCTTGGCAGAATGGACTTCTGACTCTTTATTAAAGTAACTTTTGTTTCAGTCAAACATATCTTCATTGCGAAGATAAGGACTGGTTGAAATTGAATCCGAAGAACCTGTTTCTTCGGGTTGAGTGTCATCTTGTTCTGCTCTAATTAATTGTAATCTTGCTTCAAATTCCTCTTGAGAACTGGCAGAGGCTAGTTCGGCCATAATTTTGCTTTTCTCAGCCAAAAATTGAGTATCTTTGGCTAGCTTCTTTTTGTTGTCTTGTTGTAAAATTGTTGGAGAATTTCCTTTGGCCCATTCTTTAATCCTTGATTTGCTAATTAAATTTAAATCGAACTTTTTCCACCACTTAATTTTTATTGATCTAGATAATATCTTCAAAGGAACATTATCATATGGCTGTCTGAAGATATAATCCCATGTAACAATCCAGGTAATATTCTGGGAGGCCACAAAAGTAATCATTTTGTAGTTTGGTAACCATAATATCAATGTATTGGTATTGAGTAAATGTAATATTGATCTAGGTTTCAAAAAGTTTTGAAAATGGCAGTCTTTAGGGAATATGGTATTGAGTAACTGTTCTCGAGTTAGATCTTTCCACTCGGGTTCTATTAGCATAATATCAATGTATTGGTCTTTGGTGATGTATGAATCGTCATATGATCTTCAATTTGAAGGTGTGGTTGTTGGAATAGTATTGCGGGTAATGTTTTTGGAAAGGTTTTGGGAAATTTGTTTTGAAGGAGAGGGTATTGAGCTAGGTTCTGGGGCATGTCCTAGGGCAGAAATAGGATCGAATTTATTGTGAAAAAGTAATGGAGAGGTGGTTGCTTCTAAGAATGTTGGGGTTTTTTAGGGTAATTTTGTATTGAAAGACATAGGTAACTTTCTTGATGTACTCGGCGAAGCCGATAATTTTCTTGATGCTTCTGATTGAGCCGATTTAACAGTATTGTTGAGTGGGGCCTTGAAGGGCGTCCCATAATTGTCTCTAGAACTTTTGCTCATTGTCCTGTAAAAACTCTCTTGTTAAGTAATCTGGTAATGTGTTGGTCTCTCCTTTAACATGCTCAATCTCAAAGTCAAAACATGATAATAGAGCTTGCCATCTTGCGAAAATATGTTTTGAAACCAAATTTTTAACATCCTTTTGTAAAATTGATGGAGTTGCTTTACAATCTGTTCTAATTAAAAATCTTTTTGAAAATAAATCATCTTGAAATTTTTGAAGACATAAAACTATTGATAAGATTTCTTTTTTAACTGTCGAATATTTCTTTTGAGCTGGGTGCCAAATACCTTAATGGTATCTGACTCCTTGTTCTTTTGATAGAATTTTTTGCTTTAAAATCTCCCCATATCCTAAATCTGGGGCATCTGTCTCGACGATAAGATAGGCTTCTGGGTCAGGAATCCTTAAACAGGGTAATCTTTTGACTATTTGTTTTACTTTAATAATGACTCGAGTCATTTCATTATCCCAAGGTTTTGGATTCTTTCTAAGGCGTTCATAAAGTGGGGCACATATAACTCTAATATTGGGAATAAAGTCTGCCACGTAATTAACACAACCTAAAAATCTTTGGAGTTGGGTCTTATCTTTTAACTCATTTGGGATTTCTGAAAATTTTATTGATCGTTGGATAGGTGTAATAGTTCCTTGGTAAATTTCATAACCTAAAAATCTTATTTTTGTTTGAAATATTTTAATTTTCTTGGCTGACACTACTAATCCATTTTCTTTGATTAAATTAATAAATGTATTTAAATGTTCTATGTGTTGATTAATAGAATTGGAAAATATTAATACGTCATCTAAATATACTAATGCAAATTTCATATATGGATAAAAAATGTCATTCATAATATTTTGGTATTCTGAAGGGACATTTTTTAATTCAAATGGAAGTACATTCCACTCGTAATGTCCAAACGGAACATTAAAAGCAGTTTTGTACTTATCTTCCTCTTTCACCCCAATTTGATAATAACCAGATTTCATATCAAATTTTGAGAATATTGTTGCATGATTTAATCTTTTAATTAAATCTTGTTTATTAGGTAAATGATACCTAATCCATTTTAATACCTTATTGAGGGGTTTATAATTAATAACTAATCTTGGTGCTCCTCTTTCGAGTTCGACTGCATTTAATACATAAAAAGCTGAACAACTCCAAGGAGATTTAGAAGATCTAATTAATCCTTTTTCTAAATATTCTTGAATTTCTTTTTTACAGTATTCTAAATATTGGGAATTCATTTGAATTGGTCTTGCTTTAGTATTGATATTCTTTTCATCAAAATTTTCAAATTATTAATTATAATAATTAAAACAAGAAATTTTATCATCAAAATTAAAACAAGAAAGTCCATCAAAATTTTCAAAATTTTCAAACAAGAAATATCATCAAAATTAAAACTCATTATCCAAAAACAAGAACTTATTATCCCAGGCCTTCTCCAGCAGATGTTCTTTACGAAGAACGAGGAGAATTAGTACAAAATTGTTATTCAGGAAGTGATATAGTTGAATGGAATATAGATGGTATGAGTGAGCAAAATTTACTAGATCACATTTGTATGATGTCTATGGCAGCTAGTGCCTACAAGAGAAGAGGAAACTCATTCAGAAAACAATATTCAATTTTCCAAAATCAAGATCCTCAAGATTATGTCTCCTGAAGAATGGGGACAACCCATCCATCAACCAAAATCATTCTCAAGACAGTTTCATCCCCAAACATACACTTATTATGATTACACCATGGCATGGACATACATGCTATATTTGCAATCCAAGACACATTCTTGGTTCTTCTGGTTTCGTAGAGGAATCTCTTTAAAATTTCCTAAATGGTTTCTCCAATGGTTCTATACATGGGGACCCATCAGAGAATTATTCCCTCAAGAAGTTTCTGAGAACTATGATTATTTTAAAGAAGTCACAACATTTTTACCAAACTACAAAATGATTACTTTTGTGGCCTCCCAGAATATTACCTGGATTGTTACATGGGATTATATCTTCAGACAGCCATATGATAATGTTCCTTTGAAGATATTATCTAGATCAATAAAAATTAAGTGGTGGAAAAAGTTCGATTTAAATTTAATTAGCAAATCAAGGATTAAAGAATGGGCCAAAGGAAATTCTCCAACAATTTTACAACAAGACAACAAAAAGAAGCTAGCCAAAGATACTCAATTTTTGGCTGAGAAAAGCAAAATTATGGCCGAACTAGCCTCTGCCAGTTCTCAAGAGGAATTTGAAGCAAGATTACAATTAATTAGAGCAGAACAAGATGACACTCAACCCGAAGAAACAGGTTCTTCGGATTCAATATCAACCATTCCTTATCTTCGCAATGAAGATATGTTTGACTGAAACAAAAGTTACTTTAATAAAGAGTCAGAAGTCCATTTTGCCAAGATTTCAAGATCATTATCACAAAACGACACAAGACAGCTCATCAAGATCAAGACATTTCATCAATAGCACAAGAAGACAAAAGACTTTTAAAGATTCCTTATCTTCTGAAGTCTCACTTTATGTAAATAATTGTACTTTTTTCTCTTTCCTGTCTTATCCTTGTATAATATTATAAGTCACTACCCCTCTAAGTAAATTAATAGGTCTTAGATAGTCTATATAAGGAGGAGTTCTCCTTCATTGTAAATCATCGAGTATTCTAGTAAGCTTCAATCTTCAAATAAAATTCTCCTTTTCAAAATCTGTTATCCATCTGAAATCTTTGTAAGTCTCTCATTATGTTAATATTTCTAGAAAATAGTCATCTTCATATTACTTTTCATGATTATCCATATCTTCATATTTCTATTACTCTGTATCAATATAATCAATATGTTTATAATATCACGCTTCCCTTATTATATATATATATATATATATATATATATATGTAGAAGGATCAAATAACTTCAAAAGTAACTCTTGTTTAAGTTGTTTCACTCAATAATTCATGATATATGTTAAATTTCAACAATCTAATTGTTAAATTAAAAAAATTTAATACATAGATGAAGTCTATAAATTTAAAAAAAAAATTGAAAACTATTTGATATTTAAAACATTTTATATGTTGATTTGAATATATATAATGAAGTATTATATGATTTTCAATTTTCTTTTAAAATTTTTAAATTTAATCTATACATTAAAATCTTTTCATTTAACAGTTAAATTGTTAAAACTTAACATATATCATGAGTTGAAGTATCTTAAATAAGAGTTAATATTGGAGTCATTTTGATCCCTCTTCTATATATAGAGAGAGGAGGACTCAAATGATACGGATGAAATTTTTATGAATTATTACATTATTAATAACTTTCAATTAAATGTGAATTTTTCAAAACTTATCAATTGAAGGTTCTTTACTTCTAAATCATATATAAAAAAATTTGTATTAATCTAAAATAATTTAATACCTTATTTTTATAAAATAAAATTGACATAATATATTTTTTAAAATATATTAAAATATAAATATTTTAATTACTTTTAAATTTAATTTTAACAAAATTTGATATAGACATACAAGATAAAATGAAACTATAGTTCAATATTTAGAATTGTCGATCCATCACATGTTTGAGTTGGGTTGAATTAAAAAAAAAAAAAAATTACAAATTTTATTATGTTGGAAATTGAGTCCAACCCACTAACAATGGGTTGATTTACCAATTTACTCATGCAAAATAAAATTGAAAAAAGCCCAGCCCATGAATGTGACAAAGGATGGACGGAGACTTACTGGGTTAGGCGTTTCCTCTTTAGGGTTCTATTCTGCAGTTCAGCACTTCGCCTCTTCGTCTTCGTGATTCGTCATTACTGGGTTAGGCGTTCAACGCACACGCACCGGTACTGATTTTAGTTTCCAATTTGCGTACTATTTTACTAATTAAGATCAAGGATTCTTATTAATTGTGTTGTATATATGGCTATAATTTGTTTAGTATCTAATTTCACATTATAAATCCCTTTAATTCACTAACTCGTAGCAAGCGGAACTAGGTTCATCTTTTATAAGTTGGCTAGAAAGTGATTAAGGTTGGATTCACTCACCTCAGACTGAAGTAGGTGACCCGTTTTCACAACTCTAAAATTTTGGTATGTTTAGATGGGAAATCGTAGTGAGTGAATTGTGCCCCCAAAACATAACCCCAAGCCTCTCCTGTTATTGGCTACTATGTTTGAATGGGTAAAAAAAAAAAACATAATTAAAGCAAAAAATTGCGTTCCGTTTCCTTTAGTATATCTGTCAATGACTGCACATTGGTGTGATTTTCTGTATTTCAATCTTATGGTTTGCATTTTGTGTTTGACTAGGAAAAATGAGGCCCACAATGATGCTTAGGGCTCTGAATAAGCAGTTTCTTGGAATGGTTGGCGATGCAGCAAATACTGTCACTAAGAAGCCTCCCCCACCTCCTCTGGTGTCACGCAAACCAGCGTTCATTGATGCATTCTTGTACAAGATGAAGAAGAACCCAAATCTTTTGTCAAACAAGACCATTTGGTCACGTAGATCCACTATCTTGCCAGAATTTGTTGATACCAGTGTCAAGATTTACAATGGAAAAACCACTATTCGTTGTAAGATTACCGAGGGAAAAGTGGGTCATAAGTTTGGAGAGTTTGCTCTCACTAGGAAACGCAAAACCAGAGAACAAGCCAATGCCAAAAATGTTAAACAACTTAAGAAAAAGAAGTGATTTTATTTTGGACAAAAAAATAATTTCATGGGTCTTTTATCTTCTGCAACTATATACAGCAATCTGGTTGTTTCTTAGGTTCTCTAGATTGCTCTTGAAGACCCAACAGGTTTCCCTGATAGAATATTGTCTACGAGGATCTTCCTGAAATTTGGCGGTGGTTCCTGTTGAATTGGTTCTTTGACTATCTGAACTTTTCATTTCGTATATAATTTAACTTCTGAATGATAGATCAATTTATGTTTATCACTTGATTTGATAGGACCTGGATTTTATAGTTGCCTCTGTTTATGCTGAATGCCCCTGAATTGCATAGGATGTCATCATCATGGCCAGGAACTTTGCATGATTTTGGAATGCTCCACTGTGGGTGTCCTTTACAGTAAGAGGAAATAAATGAAAGAAAATTGTAGTGATGTTTTTATGAAATTTTATATCGTGAATAAATGATATAGGGTGGTTTATTTTTATTTGTTTGGTTATAGGAAGAGTAGAAGAAAAGGAGTGAGAAATATTGTAAGATGATTTTATCTATTTAATTAAATTTAATTTTAAATCATATATTTTTATTTTAAATATAATTTTGTTTTTATAATGTGGTTAAATATACAATATAGTTATTAGATATATAATTATTTTATATTTAATTAACTTTTTAGGTAGAAATATCTTAAAATAACTGTTTAAAACCCTAAGTATTTCAATCAAAATGATTTTCGTCTCAGCACTCTGCCCTTCTGATAGCAACATTCTGCCCATGTTATAGGGGAAAAATGAAAACGGGTATATGTAAGAGAAAAAGAAGTAGCAACTCGCCCAATCTAATTTATATTAAACTAAACTTTGTCATAAGTTCTCAAAACAATAATTTTTTCTATTTTATATTATTTGTATACAATAATTCTTCTTTATAATATATTGTTTTCTCATGAGATTTTTCACTTAAAAGCGTTATTATAACGAATGAGGCTGTGATAGTATAATACATTAACTATATTAATTGTTAATTATTTATTATGAAAATTTTAAAGTAAATATAATCAATAAAATTATGCTAAAAGAATTTTCACAAAATTTCCGTCAAGAATATTTTTGTATAGGAAATTGTAACAAAAAAAAATTCTATTATGTAATATAAAGTTTTTTTTATCATGTAATGTAAATAAGAACAATTATGCTAAATTTCTTTTACAAGATTTATATAAAAAAAATATTTTACGTATAAAAATTATAATGAAAATTGACTTAAAAATATTTAAATATGGAACAAAACATTTTTAATAAAAAAACACGCATAATTGAAATTTCTATGTCTAATTTTTAGAATATTTAAATTAAATCCAAAATTTATTGTACAATAATATTAAGCACTGTCTCTCTCTGAACCTATATACATAAGGAAAAAATATTTAATGTTTTTTGGATTAAAATATAAATAAATTTCAATCAAGTCAACATCATTTAATGCTCTTAAACCAAAAATACTCATAATGCAATAAATAAGAATACTATTTATTGGAAGTGCGATTAAGAATATTTTTATAAATGTAGTGTATATTTTATGTGAAATTGTGAAAATTAAATATATATATATAATTAATTTTCTTGTTTATATAAAATTGGTATTTTTTGGTTATATATTATATTTATTGAATACAACACTTAGTGTCTCAAAATAAGTATTGTCCTAAATTTATTTTACCCATAACGAGAAAAGTTAATAAATAGATAAAAGAGAATAATAATTTTACAAAAACTAACCATATAATTAATTATATTTTTTAAAAATGATGCAACATGATAATTAGTTTCCAAGGAATATTCAGAGGAGTATAAATGAGAGAATGTTAATTAATACTACATTGAAAAACTAACATAACACTTATTTTTCTTTCAGATACGACACTTATTATAAAACAAAAGGAATACTTGATTAATATGAAAATAATATCAAATATAATATATTTATTAGATTTATCAATTATAGTATATTTAATAAATTAATCACATATTTTTATTAACAAAATTTATTTAAAAAAATTATTAAAATAAAAACAATTTTTTATTAAAAAATTAATGGCTAAAAATATACACACAAAATTACATTATTTTTTCATTTTTATTTTAAAAAATGTGAGTTTATAAGACATATTTTGAAATAAAAAGTTATATATATGAGAAGAAAGATCACTTACTTCAAGTGCAAGTCTTGGTATAGTTACTTTGTTTAATATTTTATGTTTTACATAAAATTTTAATAATCTAATCGGTTGAATTAAGAACTCTTAATAAATAGATCAAATTTATATTTTAATAGTTTATAAATTTTTATATAAAGTTACTGTAATTATAGATATTTTAGTCTAAAAATAATTAATATATAAAAAATACAAATTAGGTCATATATAATTATTCTAAGTTGAATCTTGTAAATGGATTTAGCTCCTCGAAAATAAATGAGTGTACTTAAAAGATAAAGTGTACTTTTGTTAATTAAAGAATCAATTATTGATAATCATAATAAAATCTAAAATTAATTATGATATTTATTGTTGATTTTTTAATAAATAATTATTATTGTACTTTATTTTCTAAAGTCAAATATTTTTACTTTACTTAAGTCAAATCCTTTATAAATAGGTACAAATGTAGTATATCAAATTTCTTCATGCATCTCAAGTATTCTGGCCCTTGAACTCTTTGGAAAAAAAAAAAAAAAAACCATGGTTGAAATTGTTAATTTAACATTGTTGAGATTTTCCACGGTCAACCTAACTTAGTCAAACATGATTTATCCAATTTGATCCATAATCATACTAGAAAATATAGGCTTTTTTTTTTAAATGTCAATTATGTGAAATTTGATGAAATAATCTTTTTTATAAAAATTCACATTATCTCTCTAATTATATGAATTCTTAAATAAAAGGAAATTTTATTGAGTATAAATTAAATCTGAAACACATGAATGACATGAAATATAATCTAATTTAATCATCTATATATAAGAATATAAAGATTATTCCATCAAATTTCACATATTATAAATGAACTTATAACTAAAAATTAAATTACAAAAATATATATAAATAAATAAAAGACCTAATTACAATATTTTAGTTTAAGTACCTAATTAATTTAAAAAAAAAAAAGTTATGAAACAAATAATGTATCAAACCTTATTTCAATAACTAGAAACATTGGATTAGGTTTTACATGAATAAATTGAATGGATAATAGAAAAATAAATGGCTTTGTCATTCATAAAGATATATGATTAACTGAGGGAGAAAAATACGAAGAAAGAGAATAATATAAAGTTAAATATATTTTTTAAAATAATAATGTTAATTCTTAATTTTTTATTAATTTTTAATATTCATGAAGAAATAAGTCATTTTCTTGTTTCCTTGAATAAATGAATAAATAACATCATCAATTTCAAAGTAATTTTTTTCATCATCAAAAGGTACCCTCTTTCAAATACGAAAACAATTTGACAAATATCAAATAATTAAATAAATATATTTTTTTAACCTGAGTTTAATTCTACATTTACAAAAATTAATATCAAAATTTTAATCATTTAGTTAAACGATGTAAAATAAAAAACAAATTTAAATTAATGTTGATTGCATGAAATACATGTCAATTAAAAGGAACTTGTAGATATTAGATGTAGTGCTTTAAATGAAACTAGTTAGGGGGAAGCTATAATTACATTGATCAATCTTTATGTTTAGCAAGGAATTAAAAAAATGTGTAATGATGATAAACATGAAAGTATACAAGAGATAACCCCACCTGGGTATATGTATGAAAAAAGGGTCATTTGTCACAACATGAAATAAAAAAGAAAATTTGACAAAATCTATCATTGTTCCTTGTTTTTCTTCTCCCAATATTCATCTTCCCATGTTTCTACCTGTCTTATTGAATTAGCCTTTTTATCTAGAAAGTCTTGTAGGGTTTTAGGATCATATGGAGGAGGAATAGTGCATGGATTTGAATCACTAGGAAACTTCACCATGGACTCCTCCATGAATCTCCTTTGTGTACCATTTACAGCACATGCCATGGTTTCAGGACAATACTCCACAGCTCCTCGAGGTATAGTTGGTTTGAACCTTAGGAGCTTTGCATATTCATTAAGTAGATGAAACATGTAATCATATACATAGTCCATGTCCATGTCCTCGTGAATGAATTTGCTAGCAGCCTCACCTATTGCTTGTGCCTGCCAAATATTTTAGCCAAAGTAAGCACGATTTTTTATGATGCTTGTGACATGAAGCGTATGATAAAAGTAGGAAGTTTTTATCAAGATAACAATACTCATTAAACCTTTTATGTTTTATACAATTCATTAAATGCTCTTGAACTAATGCAATTAGGAAACTTGTGAGCTTGGCTAGAAAAATACTAGAAGGAATATATAATGAGTGTGTGCGTGTGAGAGGAATTATTGTTTAATCTAGAATCACCATGTGTTTATGATTCTAATACATCTCAATGTGGCATGTTCAATTTTCCAATTTACAAGTTATGTGTTTGGATTGGTTTCATGGTGAAAAATAAACAATTATTTTTTTGTGAAGGTAAAATGTTAATAGCATTCTTTCTAACACTCCATTTCTAATCATTAAATATGAAGAAAAATTCGTTAAATAAGATGAATGACTCATCTAAATTTATGATTTTTAATAATTTTAACTAATAATAAAAAAGTATTAGAAAGAGTGTTTAAGAAAATATTG